CATTTCCAATTAAAGGGGGAATGAATAAGGACAATGGGCCTCTGCAACAATTGCATAAAGGAAATTATATATCACAGATTCTGGAATTAAGTCAAGATCTTGTTAATCAGCATAACCCTACCTTAGGTGAGAAATGCTGGTTATGCTTATCTGCTGACCCTGCATCTTATCATGCTATTCCTGTAAAATCACAACTTTGGGTAAAAACAAAGGCAACAATTCTCCTTGAAAGGGATAGTAGAGATAAAAAAACCTGTCTCACCAATACAAGGAGATTTTTATGAAGCATTCAAACGATTGGGAAAAAGTCGTCTTCCTATCACAGGCCCAATTGCTACAGGTGTAGACCTCATAGGAACACCTTCTTTATGTGTAAAGAGACATCAGACACTCGGTAGGCCTGTAGGATCCCTGAAAGACGAACAATGTCACTCAGCAATATATATATAGGCCCAAAAATAAATTTGGTGGACATAAAATTAACAAAGGGAGTTTTTCCCTCTGCTTACCGCAAATTTCAACAAAAGGTTACTTTCTCAACTCCACCAGAACTACACTTTAGAAAGGACAGGTGGGGTGGATGGAATCTGTCTGTGGAAAGCTGTCCAAGACCATTTCACCCTCCAGGATTTCCCATTTGGTTCAATTTAAAGTCTAAGGCAGGTATATGTATCCTTTTTCCACCGGGAAATACTACCTCTCAATATATTTTTGAAGGACCGATTCTCAGAGATAAACAGAAGGACCTATCACTAGAAATCCCATTACAACCTTTAGCGGGAATGTTTGTAGCAGGCACTATGGGAGTCTGGACTAATGAAAACAACCGTAGACTCCATGCCTTCTCCATGAACATCGGAACATGTGTGGAAGAAAAAGGAGTGTTTTTCTTGTGTGGAACAAATGCATATCTGTGTTTGCCAGCAAACTGGACAGGAGTGTGTACTTTAGCCCACCTTTTTCCTAAAGTGGGTGTTGTCAGTGCTGAGCACTCTATCCCTGTTCCCCTTTTGGGACATGTTCAAAAGAGGGTTCCCATTCTCATCCCACTATTAGCGCTTCTAGGGATGGGAACAGCTGTTGGAACAGGAGTAGCCGGCGTCACGCACTCTGTAATCCAGTTTAAACAGATATCAGAGGAGTTGCAGGGAAGTTTGAATCAAATAGCTGGCACTTTGATTGAGGTCCAAAATCAAATAGACTCCTTGGCTGCTGTGGTGTTACAAAACCGACGTGCCTTAAACCTCCTGACAGCAGAAAAAGGAGGAACATGTATATTTTTAGGTGAAGATTGTTGTTTTTACATGAACAAATCAGGTGTGGTCAGAGAAGGTGCTCGGGAATTACAGGATAGGGCTTCCAAGATAACTCAGAGGTTACAAACTCCTGACATGTGGTTTTCTTGGGTGCCTGGATCCGGATGGATTAAGCAAATGATATTTTTGTTCATATGCGCAATAGCTGGTTTAACGTTCATCCCATGTGTGATACCAATCATTAGACAATTATCTATCAGAGCGGTAAAAGAGATTCAAGTTGAGAAGGAACTAGCTTTGACAGAACATCTTCTTGATCAACTTGGTCCCCGCCCTATGGAAGAACTTACAGATTCTGAGTTAGATTCATATGTGGTAATGGGACCAGGGGAATAAAGGAGACAATCTCCCTATGACTTAAGAAACTAACTATAATCATATATAACATGTATAACCATTTGTATGCCTTTCTTATTGCTTTGCTTATTTTTGTATGTATTCAATATATTCCTGTTTTGTTTGCTATGATGACAGGCATGTTTCCCAGGCATAAAGAAAACATCATAATAACACAGCTGAACCCTGTTGCAAAAAACAAAAACAGAGGAAATGTGGGAATGCGGTGGCCATAATACATGTTTAAACCAGTTTAACTGGTTGGACACTTGTATGGAGCTTAGCACCGAAATAACCAGACTATGAAAAGCGGGTTCATATGGATACTCTCTGAAGGGCCCTATTCATTCTCTCTTTGTTTATAACATAGGCTGTGCCTGCAAAAGCAAAGATATCTCCTTGTATAAACATTCCTGAGAAGCAAAGCAGACACATCTCCTATCTCTTTGTAAACACATTCCTGAGAATCAGATAACGGAGATGGGCCTCTCGCCTGGTAGTATCTGGTACCAAGCAGCCAGAGTTAGATTTTGCTTTGCATCTTTACCATTGCTTTCCTATCTCTTGTATGTAATATGAGATGTGTAGCCATAATAACGCCTTCTGATGACGCTGTATTTGGGTAACTAATAAAAGAGATTGTAGCTTTTTGTTTGCTGCTCTCTCATCCCGAGAAAACACTTGTCCTGTGTTTTCCTAAACTGGAATCCTCATGAGAAGCCCGCCAGTATGAATTCAACAGTGGTGGCATGATGTCCCAAATAGTTTACCAGTTTTAGAAATTAAAATTTAAGGAACATCCTTGAATAACACCTTATGACATATATTGTAGCAAGTTCTTTTTTATCTATCTATTTAAGAGAATTTATATGGTCCCACACTCACTATCAGTGTCTCTGAGCTGCTTAAAAAATATACAAGGAATAAAAACACACCGCTGGGGATAGCAATCAATTGGTTGAGCCACTTTATAGGTTCCAACCCCTTCTGAGTTCCACAGGCCTATTGACAAAACCAGGTGCTCAGGGCTTTAAAAAAGAGGGACCAATCTAATCTCAGCATGGATGATGTTCCAGAGGGAGGGAGCCATCACAAAGTAGACACTTCTTCTGTGTCCCACCAGATGTCCTGACTTAAGAGAGAGGACACACAACTATCCCTGCCCCCTGCCTCCATTGGATCACATGGATGTGATCAGGAGGAGACAGGTCTTCAAATAACCTGATTCCAAGCAATGTTTAAAGGTGACAACCAGCACCTTGAATTGTACCCAGAAGCAAATTGTCAGCCAATACAACTACCACAGGAAAGGTGACACAACTGAGTCTGCACAAAACCATACGGGTGGCTGATTTGGAAACAATTGGAGCTTATGGATACTTTTAAAGGACAGCCCCATGTAGAGTCCCTGTTAGAGAAAATGTATTTCTCTATAGCTGTGCCTATTAATGGCTTTTGGAATGGACAAATACGTAAACCAATCAGAGGGCAGCTAATAGGTTTGAATCTCCAGGGTCCTACCCTAACTGTCATAGTTAGCAGTATAAAAGGAGATTCTTGTCAGAAACTATTTGCTCTTCGATCTTCACTCATCTTAGCTATTTGGTCTTAGGTCTTAGGTCTTAACTCTTCTAGGATCTTCCGTTAAAAAACTGTGAGCAGTTTGGAAGTCTGTTAGAAGAGCAGTTCTGGTGGTTTATAATAATATTTCTTCTGAGGAAGAATAGTCATAGATAACATAGCTTAGAGAGAATAGATATAGATGTAGATATATAGCTGACAGGATAATTAATCAAAGTAACTAACTGCCGTTTATTAATTGCATAGATATTGTTATGTTTTTATTATGTAAATAAAAAATCATTTACTGTTAAATGATTTAAAGGCTCATTTGTTAAAGTAGAAATTCATAGAGACAAAGGTTCACGGTTCATTGATTTTATTAACCTCCACAACAGTCCCAGGTAGAGCTGATGATCTCCTAATTGGTGGCACACATAGTTTATCACATTTATTTATTTATTTATTTATTGCGATTTATATGCCGCCTTTCTCCCTAGCGACTCAAGGCGGCTTACAAAATGACAACTTCAATACAAATCACAATACAATACAAAATTAAAATCAGTAATCCAATTGAAAATGATTTAAAATCATAGCAGTGTACCAGTGTACCCCCAAACGGAACATTAAGGAACTTTAAGGAACATCCTTGTATAAAACCTTATGGCATCCCATTGTAAAAGGTGTTTCTCCCCTCCTTTTATAATCTTTCCCAGTTCCCCCAAATTTTCTTATATGAGTAAAAGGTGTTTCAGCAAAAATGTAGGCTTCATTTTTAATCTATAACATCTCTGTTTTTGAAAAGTTTCTAATTGTAGGAAAAGAAATAATATTCTTTAGAATTTTTTAAAGCAGGGGTGTCAAACTCAATTTCATTGAGGGCCGCATCAGGGCTGTGCATCAGGGGGCCAGCCAGGCATGGCCAACTGAGTGGGTGTGGCCCACTGAGTGGGTGTGGCCATCTTTACGCCACTCCCCAAACTGCTGACATTTTTCCTCTTTTTGCATTGGGTAGGCCGGGCCAAAGCCCGTGGTCCTTGTATTTGACACCCCTGTGTTAAATTATTTGTGAGATATTGTATGAAACGTTGGTGCAAGTAATTATTTGAAGAGATTTAGAGAGCTTAGAGTCACTTTTTAAAAAATGTTCTGCATAGTTGTTCTTCAGAAAAGAAACGTATAATAAATGACTGACACCTGCTGGATTTGTTCATATTTGATTTTGTGAAAAATTAGTCAAAAATAAATGTGTCATCTTGGGAAAAAAAACCTTTGTATTTATTTCTACAATTATAACAATTAAATATATATTCTCTTGCATATGTCCCTTATATTACTTTTGTTGGCATTTGCACCTTTAAAAAAAATAGCTGAACTATCAGCTACTTATTACCTCATCAAAATAAGACAATTATATCCTAGAGGAATTACTATAGGCCAAAACATCAAAGGCTTCCCAGAAGGCTATTGAAATTCAACAACAATGAAGGTTTCTGTTTGCCTATAAAATAAGTCTTGAGTCACAAAGAGTTTGTTACAAGGGGTAATAACAGCTCTGTAAGATTCATTGTTTCAAGTATCCACCTCTGTTCTCTTCTGCCAGTCTATCTGTTCAAAACCTTGTGATATTCAAGATAAAAAATTGTACTCACATGGATCTTCAAGCAGAAAATGATAGATTTTCTCCTTAGATGTATTCTCAAATATAATCCTTACATCTACCTTTAGATGAAGTATTGGGTTATATATGCTTCCCTATGGGAAGGCTGGAAGGCAAAACATTTTCACAATAACAAGATCACCAAGATGTTTCTCTTGATGTTTTTGGTGCATAAAGTAGGTACTTTGAGCTGCCCTGCAAGTGATGCTTTCCTTGTTCCACATGAGTGGTACCAGCCTGGAGACCTCATCATTGGTGGGATGGCATCTCATTTCCTTTACCACTTTTATGAAATGAAATTTGTTGAAAACCATGCTTTAACACCTTACGAGGTACCAATGTAAGAATTTTATTTTCTTTATCAAATCTTACGGAGACCTTCAAAAATCTTTTATATGAATAAAAGCTGTTTGTGCATAAATGTAACATTTTTAATGTAATCTATGCCTTGTTTTTCTTTCAACTGTATCTGGTTATGAGAGAAGAAATAACCTTCTTTACATTCTTTTAAAGTCTTTCACATGAAATGTACACAATTTCAGATCAAGAAGTCTATTTGAATGTTTACTGAGGTAAAGCACTGTCTCTCCCCACAAAACATACATACAGTAAATGAGTGACACCTGTGGAATCTGTTCATATACATTTTCTGAAAATCTCATAGACAATAAATATAGTACTTTGAAAAAAGTCACTACTTGTATTTGTTGAAGTAGATATTTGTTGGAAGTCATGGAAATGCTGTTTAAAATAAATTTGAACACTGTATTATGAAGCATTGTACCAAAGCTATAATCTTCCTACTACGGTCAGAGAAAAAAAATTTCTTATTCATATAGAAATGATGCCAATGTACAAGGTTGTAGAATTATTTTTTTTTCAATGGGGACATTTAACCTATTTGCAGTGTATTTACCAAATTTCATCAACACGTCCTTGCCTTGGCCTTTGCTGTGAAGGAGATCAATGAGGACTCCCAGATCTTACCTAACATCACTCTTGGGTTCCACATCTATGACAGTTACCTCAATGCAAGGATGACCTATCGCACCACTCTGGACATGCTTTTCAAATCCCAGGAATTTGTCCCTAACTACAAATGTGATAGTCAGAAGAATCTCATGGCTATCATTGGGGGGCTGGATTTTGTCACATCATCTCATATTGCTGAAATTACAAGTTTCTTCAAGATTCCACAAGTAAGTTGTGAAAGGATTAAACAGAAAACTTCTATATTCTGGTGCCGTTGAATAACTGAATAATTAAGGAGCATTAAAATTTAGTCTCAGGTTTGTGTTAAGATGTTCTTCCTGGTTTAAGGTCTATTAGTTAGCATAATTTTGAAACTACTATGCCAAATATGAATTCCATACCAGATGGAAGATTTGAACTCTTTGCTTCTATGAAAACAATTGATCAGTTATATGTCTTTGAAATAATTCCAAGTAATTCCTTTCCATATTAATACCTAGAAGAATTTCAGGAAAACAATTCCTTCCTTGCATATATTTTCTATGAAAACTAGATCTGGACAATTGCATTTAATCTAACAACTCAAGAGAATACTATTCCACTTTCTTGCAGCTGACATATGGCTCATTACCCCAAGAAGAATTTGAGACCAGTAAGCACTCTTCACTTTATTTCATGGTCCCCAAAGAAGACCATCAGTACATTGGGATTATCCAACTGCTTCATCATTTCAGGTGGACGTGGATTGGGATTTTTGCTGTTGATAATGACAATGGAGAAAAATTCTTACAGAAAATGCAGCCCTTACTTTCAGAGAATGGAATCTGCTCAGCGTTTATAGAAAGGCTTTCACAACTGGCCCACTTTGAAGAATTCCAAGATTTTTTTCAAACAATCTCAATGATTTCCATTCATTTGATGAATAGCAAAGTCAATGCAGTTCTTGTCTATGGAGAAGCATTGACAATTTTGTGGCTAAGATTCGTAGTGTTTCCAGTAGATCCTAACAGCAATAAAACTACATTATTTGGAAAGGTGTGGATCATGACTGCACAGATTGATTTCATATTGTCAGGATTTCTAATCAATTGGGACTTCCAGATGTTCCATGGGGCTATTTCCTTCACTGTTCATTCAACAGAAGTCGTAGGTTTCAAGGAATTTCTTCAGACCATCAATCCACTTTCAGACTACAGAGATGGGTTTCTGCAGGATGTTTGGGAACAAGCATTTGATTGTTCATTTCCAAAATCAGAGTTACAAGAAATGCAGAGTAGAAAATGCACTGGGGTGATGAAGCTAAAGGATCTTCCTGGACCTGCCTTTGAAATGGAGATGACTGGCCAAAGCTACAGTATCTACAATGCTGTTTATTCTGTGGCTCATGCTTTGCAGGATCTATACATGTTGAGGTTCAATAGGAAGACAACTACGATGCGTAAAAAAACTGATCTTCCAAATCTGCAGGCTTGGCAGGTATTTCCTTTGCATTGGAGACTTCTTTTATTTCAATGAGCAGCTTGACATAAAATGATTTTTTGAACCCAATGTGGAAAGTCTTAATATTTTCTCCATGTGCAATCAAGTATAAGAAACAACATAGAAATAAGAGAGAATTTCCTGACAATGAGAACAATGAATTAGTGGAACAGCTTGCCTTTAGATGTTGTGTTTGCTCCATCACTGAAGATTTTTATGAAAAGATTGGACAGCCATTTCTGTGAAGTGGTATAGGGTCACCTCCTTGAGTAGGGTTAAGTAGAAGATTTCCAAGGTTCCTTGCAACCTTGTTATACTGTGATGTATAAAATAGATACAGATTGCTTACAGATTAATAGAATTGGAAAGGACCTTGTAGGTCATCTAGTCCAAACAGGAGACCCTACACCATTTCTGACAGTCCAGTTTCTTCTTGAAAGCCTCAAGTGATGAAGCTCCCACAACCTGTGAAGACAACTTCTGTTCCATTGGTTGATTGTTCTCATTGTCAGAAAATTTCTCCTTATTTCCAGGTTAAATCTCTCCTTGTTCAGTTTCCATCCATTATTCCTTCTCTGGCCTTCGGGTGCTTTGGAAAATAGTTTGACCCCCTCCCCACTGTGGCAGCCCCTCAAATATTGGAAGACTGCTATCATGTCTCCCCTGGTACTTTTCTTCACTAGACTAGCCATGCCCAGTTCCTCTAACTTTTCATGGTATGTTTTAGCCTCCAGTCCCCTAATCATCTTGGTTGCTCTTCTCTGCACTCTTTCTAGAGTCTCAACATCTTTTTTATAGTGTGGTGACCAAAACTGGATGCAGTACTCTAGGTGTGGTCTTACTAAGGCTTTATAGAGTAGTAGTAGTACCTCACTTGATCTTGACTGTATTCCTCTGTTAATGCAATTTAGGATTGCATTGGCTTTTTTGGATGCAGCCACACACTGTTGGCTCATATTTAATTGGTTGTCCATTAAGAACCCTCTCACAGCTACTGCTATTAAGCCTGGTTTCCCCCAGTCTATATATGTACTTTTGGTTTTCTTACCTCAGTGTAAGACTTTACTTTTCTTTACATTGAATTCCCTTTTTTAGAGGGAATGGAGCCTATCTTCTAGAGTGTTAGCTATTCCTGCAAATTTGGCAAGCTCCCCTTCTATTCCCTCATCTAAGTCATTTATGAAGATATTTAAGTGTACAGGGCCTAAGATGGAATCTTGTGGTACTCCACTGCTTACTTCCCTCCATGTAGATGTAGACCAATTAAGGACTACTTGTTGAATATGGTTTGTCAGCCAGTTGCGAATCCATCTGTTGGTGATGCTATCTATCCCACCTTTTTCAAGTTTACCAAGAAGTAAGTTGTGGTCTACTTTGTTGAATGCCTTGCTGAAGTTTAAGTATATTATTCCACAGTATTTCACTGGTCTACTAATTTAGTCACTATATTGAAGAATGAAATAATATTGGTTTGGCATGATCTGTTTTCAACAAACCCTTGCTGATACAGAAAACTGATTTCTCTTGTTATTCTGTTTTCCTATTACTCTGTCATTCTGTTATTCTGATCATCCAGAAGCTACTATATAAATTATGGTTTAAGTGTCAGTAGGAGTTATTAAATAAATCACCATAGCTTGCACAGTAAAATATAGTTAAAATGATAATTTAGATTACTTTTCATTGTATCTTCCAAAAATAATCTATTCTCCCAGTACTTTCTCTGTGGCTCATGAAATTTTCATGAGTGACAAGCAAAGTTTTCTGTCTCTATCAGAGTTTTACAAGAATAAAATAGAAGTGGTCCTTTTTACATGTGGCATCCAGAGTATCAAACAAACCTATCTTTGAAATAATCACTTCCTCTCATCTATGTGTCAATGAATGCTTGAGTCTCAGGTTCCAAAATCTGGCGAAAGGAAATTAGTCAAACCTGAGACTCTCAAATAACTTTGTACCAACGAGGAAATATTATATATGCTCTATCTTGAATTAATTGTTTAAGTAGTGGACCTAAAACATAATTGAAGAAAGTTACATAATTCCAAAAGCTTACTTTCATTCTGCTTCAGTTCATGCTTACCTTTTCTTAAAATAACATCAAATAAATAATAGAGTGGACATGTACATTTCCATGCAATATTGATCATCAAATTTCTAAATGTATATATTCAATAACAGTTATTGGAATATGAAGAACTATTGAATGAAACTTGATTATGATGTTCTCTTTTCTATTATGTTGCTATAAATTCCCTCTCCTATTCTCTTTCAAGTAGCTCCATTCATTTCTTCAAGGCATTTCTTTTAACAATTCAGCTGGGGAGAGAGTGTTCCTGAATGAGAAAGGGGAAGCAACAGGTGGATTTGACATCACCAACTTGATCACTTTTCCAAACAGATCCTTTCAGAGAGTCAAAGTTGGAAAGATGGATCTCAAGGCACCAAAGGGGAAAGAATTACTCATTGATGAAGATGTGATTGTCTGGCACATAGTTTTTAACCAGGTATCAAATTATTGAATCAACAATGCCTTAATCCATTATGATCCCATATTGAATGTACTCTCCTTAGAAGTCTAATTTCTGTCTTTTAAATAAACAATGGTGTATTCTTTCAAATGTTGATGATCAAACATTCCTCAAATTGACAAAATGATAATGTAAAAGCCATGTTTGCATATTTGGTTTCCATTTCTGTTTGAAATCATACGAATGGACATGTTTTCCTGAGATTGTCACCATGTGTTATTATTTACTCACCTTGACCTTCAAACAGGACCATTTCTACATTATTCTGATTAGTACATTTTTAAGTTGTTGATGAAGTTGATAAACTCTTGTGGAAGTCAAGAATAATTTTCCTCCATAAAGAAAAACATCACAAACTCTTTTACATTTCTCCTTTTTCAAAATCTTTTAATGATTATCACCAGGTTCTCCCACTTTCCAGATGTAATGACCCTTGTTTCCCTGGATCCTGGAAGAAAAGGATTGAGGGAAATCAATTCTGCTGCTTTGACTGTGTTCCATGCCCAGAAGGGAAGATTTCAAACCAAAATGGTAGGTAGGTATTCTACCAATTTTCTTTGAACTTAAGGAACCTTTATTAAACCAATTTAGGCTGCATATTATTAAGTGAGTTTCAATGGTATAGAATTACTACAATGACAATTCCTTGATTTTTCTTCCAGATATGGATGACTGTTTTGAATGTTCAGAAGATCATTATCCAAATGAAGAAAACAATGGATGTATCCTGAAACCGGTGGTGTTCCTAACTTTTGAAGAAACCTTAGGAATTGGTTTGGCCTCAGTTGCTCTTTGTTTCTTATTCTTGACAGCTTGGGTACTTGGAACTTTTATACAGCACAGGGATACTCCCATTGTCAAAGCCAACAACCGGTCCCTCACCTACACCTTGCTTGTCTCTCTTCAGCTCTGTTTTCTCTCCCCTTTCCTCTTCCTCAGCCAACCTGGCAAGGTGACCTGCCTTCTCAGACAATCAATGTTTGGTGTCACTTTCTCAGTGGCCATTTCTAATGTACTGGCCAAAACCATCACTGTGGTTGTGGCATTCAAGGCCACTAAACCAGGATCTCAGATGAGGAGATGGGTGGGGAAAAGATTGGCTCTTTCTACTGTCCTTTCCTGCTCTCTCTTACAAGTATGTATTTGTATTCTTTGGTTGTCAACATCTCCCCCATTCCCTGAATTGGACATGCACTCAGAGTTCCAAGAAATGATTTTACAATGCAATGAGGGTTCAGCTTTCTTCTTCTATTGTGTCTTGGGCTACATGGGTATCTTGGCCATTGCCAGCTTTATTGTGGCTTTCCTTGCCCGTAAATTACCCGACAGCTTTAATGAAGCCAAATTCATCACCTTTAGCATGTTAGCCTTTTGCAGTGTGTGGATCTCCTTCTTTCCAGCCTACCTGAGCACAAAAGGAAAAGCCATGGTAGTTGTGGAGGTCTTCTCCATCTTGTCCTCCAGTGCTGCTTTACTGGGATGCATATTCCTGCCAAAGTGCTTCGTCATTGTTTTCAGGCCTGATCTAAACCAAAGGGAACAACTGACAAAGAGAAATTAGTACCCCATGTGATCTTCCTTGATCGAAGAAATTGTTGAGAAAAAAAAGAAGAGAAAGATTGCTTGTTGTCTACAGGGAGTATAAAAAAATTCTTTCAAAAGAGGATTTATGGACGATTATTCTTAACACTGATGTTTATTATAGTTGCCGATTCCAAGAGAAGTACTTGGGTGCTTCATTTTCAACCATTTCCCAGGTTGTTGAATATAACACTTTGTCCCTTTCAACACTCTATTTCAGCAGTGTCAAACTTGATTTCATTGAGGGCTGCATCAGGGTTGTGTTTGACCTTGGTGGGCCAGTAGGTGTGGCTGGGGTGGGCATGGCTGGGGTGGGCATGAACAGGGTGGCTATGGCCAGCTCAGCGTCACTCATGTCAGGGGCACCTATGTGGCCTGGCAGAGCTCAGGGGATCCATTGTCTCCAGTAGAGGAAGATGAGATCAGGGAGAGCAGCTATGACAGTCCTTTGCCAGCAGAAACAGAGCTTGGGAGGGGTGCATGCAGGATGTCAATCTGGTGGCCCATGGGCCAGATGCATCACATCAAGGCCACGCCCACCCCAGCTCGGTGAACGGGAAAAATGTCACAAAACATCATGCAATGTCAATGTGATGCGGCAAGTTTGACACCCTTGGTTTAGAATAGATGCTTAGATTTGCCTGCAGGCCCCCCTCCCCAGAAACAGAAAAGAACCAGCCTGTGATGCCTCTGCCAGTGAAAACAGAGCTCATGAGGGCTGCACACAGCCATCCTCAGCTCTGTTTTCACTGTCAGAAGGTTGCAGAAAGGTATCCCAGCTGAAAATGGAGCTCACGCGGATCACGCATGGTCCCCCGTTTTCATTGGCAAGCTCCATTTTCATTGGCAGAGAGTTTCAGGAGGCCATCCCAGTTGAAAACTGAGCTCAGGAACACATTGTTACTGGCAGAGTGCTCAGGCCACTACAGGAGCCCCCTGACACAAGTGATGTCATGTTGGCCAAGCCTACCCTGGCCATGCCCCCACCCCCAGGTCAAACACAGCTCTGATGTGGCCCTCAATGAAATGAGTTTGACGTCCCTGGTTTAGAATAAGAAGTCTGGCATTTTTCACGGAAATCAGCTGAAATTCAGCTCAAATTCTAGAAAAAAGATGTACGGTCCTCTCTGATAGAAGGAGGGACTACAATGATGAAAAAAACCTGAAGGAAAATTTTGAGTCTTCACTAGATGGAGATGATAGATAGGTGTAAAAGAGCCTTGGTAGTGCAGCAGACTAAAGTGCTGTTAAGTAACACCAGCTGCCTACAATTACTGCAAGTTCAAATCTCACAAGGCTCAAGGTTGACTCAGCCTCCATCCTTTTGAGGTAGGTAAAATGAGGATCCGGATTGTGGGGGCAATAAACTGACTTTGTATAAAAAAGAACACCACTTAAGGGGGGGGGGGGCGAAAGCCCTACTAAGCAGATACAAGCAGATATACAAAAGTATGAAGGCTATTGCTTAACCATCATTGTAAGCCACCCTGGGTCTCCGGAGAAGGGCGGCATATAAATTGAACCAATTAAATAATAATAATAATAATAATAATAATAATAATAATAATAATAATAATAATAGTATGTAGGTAGACATGTAGATAGATAGATAGATAGATAGATAGATAGATAGATAGATAGATAGATAGATAGATAGGGAGACAGGGAGGCAGGCAGACAGACACACAGACAGACAGACGGACAGACGGACAGACGGACAGACGGACAGACAGACAGACAGACAGACAGACAGACAGACGGACAGACAATAGATGCTATGGATAGGGAAAATGGACCAAATTATAATGAAAGTGAAACCTTAATTCAGATAGAAACTAGTTACTCTAGACTTCTCTGCAAGGGATGCTTCCCCTGTTCTCATCATTGGTGGCATGATGTCCCACATAGTTTACCAGCTTTATCAATTGAAATTTAAGGAAAATCCTTGAATAAACCTTATGACATACATTGGAAGGAGTTTTATTTATTTATTCATACATTTAAGAGAATGTATATGGACACCCTATCACTTTCAGTGTTTCTGAGCTACTTAAATTTTTTTAAAAAAATATATAGAAAGAATAAAAACACACCACTTGGGATAACAATCAATTGGTTGAGCCACTTCATAGGTTCCAACCTATTTTGGGTTCCACAAACCTATTGACAAAACCAGGTACTTAGAGCTTTTCAAAAGAGGGTCAAAGTGGGGACCAATCTAATCTCAGTGTGGATGATGTTCCAGAGGGAGGGAGCCATCATGAAGAAGAGACTTCTTCTGGGTCCCACCAGATGTCCTGACTTAAGAGGGAGGACTCACAACGTTCCCTGCCTCCCTGCTCCACTGCATCACATGGATGTGATCAGGAAGAGTCAATTCTTCAAATGACCTGGTCCCAAGCCATGTAGCATTGAAAGGGGAGAACCAGCACCTTTAATTGTACCCAGAAGCAGATTGTCAGACAATGCAACTCCCACAGCAAAGGTGACACCTGTGCCAAAGGTGCTTTATTTTTTAAGAGGCAATGAGACTTTCTCGTTTTCTTTGAAGACCTTTTGAATCTCATCCAAGAAAATTCTTCAGCTCTGACTGGATTGGTGGGGAATGGAATGATTTATACTCCTTGCCAAAGGGGGGGCTTGGAACAACCATCACCTGGATGTTTGAGAATCTCCATAAATATGACATCTGTGCACAGCGGAATCTGCACCAAACCGTATGGACTGGCTGCATTTTGAACCAATTGGAGCTTCTGGGTACTTTTCAAGGGCAGCCCCATTGAAAAGGGTCCCATGTATTATAATGATTTATTAATTGGTGTCACACATAATTTATCACTTTTATGAATGGAAATAAAAGGAACACCCCTGTATAAAACCATACAATATAAAAAATTATAAAATGTTTTTTTTTAAATAATCTTAGCCAGTTCCCCCAAAATTGCTTGCATGACTAAAAAGTCTTTCAGCATAAATGTAGGCTTCTAATCTGTAACTTCTCTGTGTTTCAAATGTTTTTTTGTTGTGGGAGAAGAAATAATATTCTTTAGATTATGTTAAAGTCTTTGTCAAAAAATGTATAAAACTTTGGTGCAAGAAAAAAGCATTAACTTCCAGCCCAGTAAAAAAATAACATTACAAGCTGAAGTTTTATTTTTACACATTAGTACATACTTGCCGTTTCTATAACAACAATCTATCTAATCAGCAAAACCAAAGTCAAAGTTTCATTTTTTTCATCACAAGCACAACATCCAGAAGTAATTTCCAAATAAATAACCATGATTAGGTAGATTTTCCTCTTTGAATAAAGCAACCAATTTAACCATTTCTGCTTTTTCTTCCTTGCTTTGGAAATAATATATATTTCTGTTTGCACTTAATAATCTTTATATATTACCACTAATGGTAATTAGTCTTCCCTGTGGCAAGACGTACACAGCAGCGGAGCTTCTTGGTCTGCGAGATTCCCCCCTCTCGCAGGCTTGGCCCCCCACATTATCGAGGGCCTACCTCGATGACGGATTTTGGAATCCCGAGAGGTGGCATGCCGCAAAGAGGGGGCTGAGGGGTTTTTTAAAATTGTCTTTGTGTAAATTTTTAAGGGGTTTGGGGAGGGGTTTGGGGAGGGAGGGAGGCCAGTCTGGCTGTTAATGGTGCCATAGGGGGTACGGACTCTGGGGAAAAGGGGACTGTTAGAATGCCCTCTATTGAGGGCTTTTCCATCAATACGCCTCCCACCGGCCAGTTCGCTCACACAGAGAGGGCCTCCTCAGGGTGCCGTTGGCTAGACAATGCCGGCTGGCGACCCCCAGGAGGAGAGCCTTCTCTGTGGTGGCACCTACCCTTTGGAACAATCTACCCCCAGAGATACGAGTGATCTCCGACCTCCGGACCTTTCGTCGGGCCCTAAAAACTCATCTCTTTCAGTTAGCCGGTCTCTCTTGATTTTATGATTTTATGGTTGGTTTTAAATTTTGATATGGATTTTAAATTGATAAATTTTAAACTATGGGCCAAATTTAATTATTTTAAATCTATTTTTAATCGTATTTATGTATAAATGTTTTTATTTTGGCTGTTCACCGCCCTGAGTCCGAAAGGAGAAGGGCGGTATAGAAATTTGAATAATAAATAAATAAATAAAATAATTTTATTAACAAAATTCACTGTATTCTTTCAAATTCTTTCATCTTAAAGGGAAAATACTTTTTATCCATTTTAAAATACGAAACATTTTTTTAAAAAAATTCTAAAACTAAAAAGTTCTAATACATCTTTTTAAAAAATGTCTTCTTAACATACAAACTTTAAAATTTGCTTTTAGTCAAACCAATAAAATTCCAAGTCACTCCAATTAACTCATTAAATTTAAATCATTCCCTCCAAGTTAGCCTCATAAAATAATAGCTTGCTTCTTGTATACTTCCTTTTTAAAACTCTAAACTTTTCTTTAAGCTAATACATCTTTTTCTTTAATGCTCTCTTAACATAGATCATTCAAATACACTTTCAGTAATATTTTACAAGCTTTAGGAATTACTTAAGCATTATATATAAAGGGGAAAAATGCATTTCCAAATCCACTTTACATTAAAACTTTCTTTATTACAAATATCAGACCGATGAAAATCCATCCTAATTCCAATTGGCTCATTATGTTTAAATCAGTCCTTCCAGCTTATCTTCATAAAATAAAATCTTTTTCTTTTCTCAAATGTTTATTAAGCAGTCATAAAAATCTCCGGGATTTCTCAATTTTTCATAGTGTCCATGAAAAACGGTCCCAAACTTGTCCTTTTAAAAGCTGCAGATTTTGGGGAAACTCTTCTTGCAATCGTGTTGGGAGATTTATGTTTAAACCATCATAATACAGTTTGGTGTCAGGTTTATATTCCAAAATTGAAATTGACTCCTCTACATTGTCAGCTACTTGTTGAATTGCCTTGGTGATTTTGTATCTTTCTACACATAATTGTATCCCTGAAGTAGTTTGAGTAGATTTTTTGACATAGTTGGAGCATAGCTAGTCTATGAACTGGTGGGTTTTATTTCAGGATTTTTCAAATGCATCTCTAATAATTTGCTCCTCTTTAACTCCCTCTTTAGTCAAAGAGTAGCTTTTTTGTAAGACACTTAAGAATTACTGGCCAATCAGGAATCATAAAAATCAGAATGTTTGAGCCATCAACAGCAAAGCAGACCATGCTACAAAAAATAAACGAGAACCACAACTTTCTGCCCTTATATTTCTCTATATTCTTTTTTTAAAGATACCTCATACTTCCTTATTTTAGCTTGCCTTCTGCCGTCTTTTTCCAAAATGCTGCAGATCTTCAAAACGGAATAGCAGGCTGTGGCTAAAGAGAGACTTTCTTAGTTTAATACAGATCGATAGTCTTTAAAAAGACTATCGATTGAGAAATTAAAGACACAACCCAATGTCCATTTGGAAAATAAATTACAAAACAGCTGCTTTTTCAACAACGAAGTGATTGCAGCCCAGCCCTCCTGCTGTCGGTATACAGGCTGCTTTGAAGCACAGCTCCTAAGCTCCTTGGAGACGGTTGCTTTATGGAGAATCTTGTGGGCTGATTCCAGGACTCTCCCTAACCCAGGAGAGTCATATAAACTGAAATAATGCCAATTCTTTCTGTTGGTAAATTGAAACTCTCTCTCATCCCAACCCACCTTCTTGCTGTTGTGGGGAAAATAGGAATAACAGAATAACAGAGTTGGAAGGGACCTTAGATCTTCTAATCCCACCCCCTGCTCAAGCACAAAACCCTACACCATTTCAGACAAAGGGTTGTCCCATCTCTTCTTAAAAACCTCCAGTGATGGATCCCTCACAACTTCTGGTGGCAAGTCATCCCACTGAAAGTTTTCCATAGTTCTAGGTTGCTTCTCTGCTTGATTAGTTTCCATCTATCACTTTGTGTCCTGCCTTCAAATGCTTTGGAGAATAGGTTGACCCCCTCTTCTTTGTGGCAATGCCTTAGATATTGGAAAACTGCTGTCATATCTATCACATCCTATGATATCTATCATGTCATATCACATCATATTATATCATATATACCATATCAGTGGTGAAATTCGTGTGATCTGGTAGGGCCGGCGGTGGGAGGCACCGTCCACCCGCCTGGACGTCATCACGTCCCATTTTTTAACCTCTGCACATGTCTGGAGGAGGCATGTGTGAGCGTAGCGTGCACGTGCTCACATTTTCGAACTGGTAGAAGATAAGTGAATACCAACCCTGTACTATATCATATCTATCATATGATATAATATGAGGAGGAAAGTCTGTTAGATATCTTCTCTGCCTTGAGTTATTTATAAAAATAATGCAAGTCAGGACACTAATAAAATAAATAAATAAATAGCTAAAGATTTGGATGGGTAGATTATTAAAATAAATAAATAAATAAACTTTAATGTCATTGTACGTGTATACATAGTATACCCATACAACGAAATTCACTTAACACCCAAAGACCAGGTCCTACACACATAACAATCCCCAAACACTCTCCCACCCACCCCAATTCCCCACCCTTAAAACCACCCAAATATCCACACAACAGACCAAGTAATGCTGTCCAACAGCTCACTGATGGTGGCCCTTTAAACTCAAGTAGCTAATGCTACTTTCCAAATATCAGCATAAATGTTGTTATCATTTCATTCTTCAACATTCTTTGACTGAAAATGTGGATTAAACCTCCAAAGAAATTACTGGTTTATTTATCAGACCTTAACATGTAAAAAATGTTGCCTCTTCTCTACTAAACAATTCTATTCATTTTGTATGGAAAATGGGAACCCTACTCCATTGTAAGGAATGAACATGAATGTCAACACTTGAGGCTGTTTTTAATTGCCAATGTCCCTTAGATTATTTTTATCATGATTTGCTGATTTGAAAAAAAAAAGTTGAACCTTCAGTTGAATCACTTATTCTCTCACCAAAAACAAAATAATTATCTCCTACAGGAATCACCATATTATTTTTAGCTAGGCCAAAACATCAAGGACTGTGCATAAAAGTATTTAAATCCAACAACAATGAAGGTATCAATCTGGTTATAAAGTAACTCTTGAACCCCAGGGAGTTTGGCACAAAGGGATAGTAATGGCTCCATCAGATTCATTCATTCATTCAAACTTCCTTATGGACAGGAGACACAAATATTTTCCCTATGACAAATGCCTGAAGATGTTGCTCCTTCTGATGCTCTTGGTGCAGAAAGCAATTACTCAGAGCTGCCCTGCGAGTGATGCTTTCCCAATTCCCCATGAGTGGCACCAGCCTGGTGATCTCATTGTGGGTGGGATGGTGTCTCAGATAATTCACTCCTTTTTTGAAATTGAATTTAAGGAACATCCTTCTCTAACACGTTACTTTTTAACACTGTAAGGCTTTTTTTTTTCTTTCCATTCATTTTCTAATCTTGGTCTGATCTCCCAAAATTACTTATATGACAAATAGCTCTTTGAGAATAAATGCATGGTTTTGTATATAAACTTACACTTGTTTCCTTGTCTTTCAAATTTATCAGATTGTGGGAAAACAAATCATTTTCATTGGGTTAAAATCTTAATCATGAAATGTGTGAAACTATTCTGCAAGAAGTCTTTTGGAGAATATTTAATGAGTATAAATATCTAGTCTGCGCTGTCACTTCTAGCATAACTTACATAGATTAAAAGAGTGATACTTCCTGGTTGTAATCTATTTTGTGCCAAACTGTGATAGCTTGAACACTTTACATTGTTGAAAACTATACAAATTATTGAGTGTTTTACAAAGACTCTCATCTTCTTACAACAGAGAGAGAAATGGTTGTTACTCATATATCAATGCTTTCACCATAAAAAAAGTCAACTTATTTTGTTCAATGGGGGTGTTTAACCTATTTGCAGGATAATAACCAAATTCTACCAGCATGCCCTCGCCTTGGCCTTTGCTGTGAAGGAGATCAATGAGGATTCCCAGATCTTACCTAACATCACTCTCGGGTTCCACATCTATGACAGTTACAACAACCCAAGGATGACCTATCGCACCACCCTGGACCTGCTTTTCAAATCCCAGGAATTTGTCCCAAACTACAAATGTGATAGCCAGAAGAACCTCATGGCCATCATTGGGGGACTAGGTCCTGATACATCATCCTTTATGGCAGAAAGTGTACATGTCTACAAAATTCCACAGGTAGTTTGGGATGGAGTGAGAGAGAAAATTCTTTTGTAATTGATAGTAGATACTAGTTGCTTGCTATACATTTCTCCAGGAATTCAATTAAATACACTTTTATCACCCCTCTTCTGTTTTTCCCACAACTCAATAGATTGGCTCAAGATAATCCAATTAAATCAAAATCTTCTATTACAATCATACAGGTGTTTTGACTGTAAGCTAGCAACAGGTCACAAGTCTTCTTACTACAATTTGCTTGGTGTATGATAAAAGTACTTCACTGTAAAACTCTACTGTTTTATTTAGGAATTGTTGAAGTATTGGTGCTCTAGGGTTAGTTAGTATTTTGCTATGCCTTTATGCAGGACTTCAGTTTTGCTCTCTTTGCTCTCCTTTCTCCAATTATTCAATATGTTGGCTCATAATAATCAGTCAATAGAATCTAAATCTTTTATTACAATCATAGATCAGAAAAATTTAAATTTAAGTCACAAATTACAGTACAAAATTCATCTTATTTGAGAAGGTAAGCTGATGGTTTGACCAGTATCTGTGGTGAAATCTGAAGCTGTGTCAAGAGGAGGATAGAAAAGGCTGGTTAGCACATAGACAATAGAATAATAGAAGGGATCTTGGAGATATTCTATCCAACCCACTCTTCAAGCAGGAGACCCAATACCATTTCAGATACATCATTGTCCAGTCTCTTTTTGAAAGCCTCCAGTGATGAAGCACCCACAACTTCTGAAAGCAAGTTGTTCCATTGGTTAATTGTTTTCACAGTTACAAAATTTCTCCCTAGTTCTAGGTTGCTTCTTTCCTTGGTTAGTTTTCATCCAGTGTTTCTTGTCTTGCCTTCTGCTACTTTGGACAATAGTTTGACACCCTCATCTTTGTAGGAGCCCCTCAAATATTGGAACACTGTTATCGTATCTCATGATTTTAGGGAAGATTGCCTTTCAGCCACTTCCTGCCCATCCCCAACTCAAACCTATCAGCATTTTCACTGATGCTCTCAACTCAGCTCCAGATTCCACCAAGCTATCCGACAATAGGTTACAACTTTCCTTGGTATGTCTTGGTTGGGTCTGTTAGTAATAACTGAATTTAAAACTCATCTGATTTGCCTGGAAATTGTTGAAAGATTGGGGGTATGTGGTCCTTTTGGAGATCTCCATAATAATTGTAGTAAATGAAGACATGATTAATCCTTTCTATTCCTCCAGAATCTCATGGGCATAGTCTTTTATGGATAAGTATAAGATAGTTAGCAATTTTCCAGATGTTCTAAGGGGATGAACATACTGGATCTCTGTGTTAGGAAACTGTGTGTGGTTGTAATATAGTTATATTTCAGATGACAAAATATTTCATCAAGGAATTTTAGTTGCTTCTCTTTGTCATCAGAATTGTCATAATCTGCACAGAATTGACAAATGTTCAATGTAGGGAGACCTTCATTAAGTTTCTCACAAGCAGTCTTCACATTTCTCCCATGATTTTCATGAAGAACAAATTTATCTTTTTCGTTTGTTTAGTTGACTTATGGTTCCTTTGCCCAAGAGGACTTTCAGATTACTGAGTTATTTCCACTTTATTACATGGTCCCAAAAGAAGAGCATCAGTACATTGGACTTATACAACTTCTTCTCCATTTTGGATGGACATGGATTGGACTCTTTGCTTCTGAAAATAAGGAAGAACGTTTTTTGCAGAAACTGCAGCCGTTGCTTTCACAGAACGGGGTCTGTTTAGCTTTCACACAAAACATTCCACAACATCTCCACTTGGAAGATTTGTCAGAATTGTTAGATTCAGTCTCAATTATTTCTGATAAATTGATGGATCAAAAATCGAATGTTTTTCTTGTCCATGGAGAATCCATGTCAATAGCGTGGCTCATAAGTGTCATGTTTCTACGTGGTTCCGAAAATAAAGAGAGTGCATTATTTAGGAAGGTTTGGATCCTGATGAATTCAATTGATTTCATCCTGCTGGGAAATCAAAGGAGTTGGGATGTCCATTTTTTCCATGGGGCTCTTTCCTTTACTGTGCATACAAGAGACATTCAAGGCTTTAAAGAATATCTTCAAGCCATCCAACTTTCAACCCACAAAGATGAATTTCTCCAAGAGGTTTGGGAGCAATTGTTTGATTGTTCATTTTCAAATACAGAATTATTTTCAACGATCACTGAAACCTGTACTGGAGAAGAGAATTTGGAGAATATACCTGGTCCTCTGTTTGAATTTCAGATGACTGGCCAAAGCTACAGTATCTACAATGCTGTACATGCAGTGGCACATTCTTTGCATGAGGCAGTGAGATCCAAATCCCAACCAAGAGAGATTCAAAGGGTTGAATTTCCAAATCTGCAGCCTTGGCAGGTAATCTTTCCGTGCCACACCTATCTTGTATTTCAACGATTATCCACAATCATCCACAATCTAATATAGCTTATTTATCCTGGTCTATGGCTACAAATCTATAGAGAGTGAGGCAACAAAGCTATTAGTTTTATAAAATAAGAGGATAACCATAAAACTAGTCTTTCCTAATTTCAGGATAGTCAATGGGATTTACTGTATGCATCAATTTTCCTTGTAGAAATAACTTTTCACCTCCACGTAGAATTGGCCTGTCTTGTGAATTTATCCAATCTGGTTCCAAGAAGAATTCAATTGCATTGTGTGCAATTGTATGCAATTCAATTGCATTGTGTGCTGTCTTTCTTCTTTTTGTGCCCAAAAAAACATTTCTGAAATGTAGACATTTTATTTTTCTTATTAGCTTGTGAATAATGATTCTCACCAGAGCCATGGTGGTGCAGTGGTTAGAAAGCAGGCTACTTGTACTGGCTGCCGGTTGCCAGCAGTTTGGCAGTTTGATGCCCACTGGCTCAAGGTTGATTCAGTCTTCCATTCTTCTGAAGTTGGTAAAATGAGGAACCAGATTGTTGGGGGCAATATTATTGGATATTTGTCAACGCAATGGAAGGAATGACTAAGAGAAAGTTAAATATACTGACCACTACTTCATTATTATTTTTCCAACTCTCTTCCATTTCTCTTTCAAGTAGCTCCATTCATTTCTTCAAGGCATTTCTTTCAACAATTCAGCTGGGGAGAGAGTGTTCTTGAATGAGAAGGGGGAAGCAACAGGTGGATTCGACATCACCAACTTGATCACTTTTCCAAACAGATCCTTTCAGAGAGTCAAAGTTGGAAAGATGAATCCTCATATTCCCAATGTGAAGGAATTAATCATTGATGAAGGTGTCATTGTGTGGCACCCAGCTTTTAACCAGGTGTGGACTCATTTAATCAAGTATTCCTTGATCCATTATGATCCAATATTGAACACAGTCTCTTTAGAAATCTAATTTGTGATTTTTGAAATGGCATATTCTGTACAAACATTGTCAATGATCAATCTTTCATCAAATTGACAAAATGACATTACAATTTAAAAGATAGGAATTCACATTTGGGTTGCATTTCCATTTGAAATCATAAGATACTGTTTCCATAATATTGTAATCAAATATATTTGTTTATTCACGTTGCCATTCTCCAAACACACCCTTTGCTCATTCTTATAGTGTCAACATTTTAATGGATAGTTAAAAAATGTGATGGCTCAGTGGTTAAACACTGAGCCATCACATAAACACTCAGGCCTGTCACCTGTAAAGCTGCCAGCCCGGGTTTGAGACCTGCAATAGGGTGAGCTCCCATTCCTGCCTCAGCTCCCATCCACCTTGGAATTCAAAAGCATGCAAATGTGAGTAGATTCATAGGTATTAATTTGGTGGGAAGGTAACAATGTTCCTTGTCATATAGCCATGCTGGCTACATGACCATGGAAAATATCTTTGGATGATGCTGGCTCCCTCAGTCAAGAAACACTGTGAGCTCTGTGTCCTACAGTTCAACACAGCTGGACAGGGAAACCTTTACCTTATAAATGTACCTGGAATAAGCCTTTGAGAATTCAAATATTCTTCCTCCCACCATCAAGGAGAACAATACAAACTGCTTAAAAATTTCTCTTTGCAAAAATCTTTTATGTTTAATACCAGGTTCTTCCAATTTCTCTGTGTAATGAGCATTGCTCCCCTGGATACTGGAAGAAAGGGTTGGAAGGAAAGCAATTCTGTTGCTACGACTGTGTTCTGTGTCCAGAAGGGAAGGTTTCAAATCAAAAGGGTAGGTTAGACATTCCAGCAAGTCCTCAATAGAAGCAAATTATAATACACTACTTTAGTGTAGCAAGTAGTTTTGTGAGTTCTTCAAGTTGGGTATTCATTTCCATACCTGTGAATCACAATGCCCATGAGAGCTGAGCTTTTATATCCACCCCTACAGATTTCTACTCTGTGTTTTGGAAAAATGGGAAACATCAAAAGGGTCTAAATTTTAATAATTTTGAAAATTTATTAGACAGGATTGAATAATTGCCCTTTCCGTTGTACTTATTTTATGGTGGTCAGAGCTGATACAATGATTTCCCTAGAAACATGATCCAACTGGTAGCCAATAGAAAAAAAACTTGAGAGGGATAACAGTTGGCACCTTTAAAGTATATTATTTTCAAAAATGTGGAATGTATAAAATCATGCCGTGATTTCCCTTCCAGATATGGATGACTGTTTTCAATGTTCAGAAGATCATTATCCAAATAAAGAAAAGAAAGGCTGTATCCTGAAACTGCTGGTCTTTCTAACTTTTGAAGAAACCTTAGGAATTGGTTTATCCTCAGCAGCTCTTTGTTTCTTCCTCTTGACATCTTGGGTACTTGGAACTTTTATTAAGCACAGGGATACTCCCATTGTCAAAGCCAACAACCGGTCCCTCACCTACACCCTCCTTGTCTCTCTTCTGCTCTGTTTTCTCTCCTCTTTGCTCTTCCTCAGCCAACCTGGCAAAGTGACCTGCCTTCTCCGACAACCAACTTTTGGCATCACCTTCTCAGTGGCCATTTCCAGTGTTCTGGCCAAAACCATCACCGTGGTTGTGGCTTTCATGGCCACTAAACCTGGTTCTCAGATGAGAAAATGGGTGGGAAAAAAATTGGCCTTTTCTATTGTCCTTTTTTGCTCCCTCTTCCAAGTATGTATTTGTACTATTTGGTTGTTCTCATTCCCTCCATTCCCTGAGTTGGACATGCACTCAGAGCTCCAGGAAATGATTTTACAATGCAACGAGGGGTCAACTTTCTTCTTTTATTGTGTCTTGGGATACATGGGTATCTTGGCCATTGCCAGCTTTATTGTGGCTTTCTTTGCCCGTAAATTACCCGGCAGCTTTAATGAAGCCAAGTTCATCACCTTCAGCATGTTGGCCTTTTGCAGTGTGTGGATCTCCTTCTTTCCAGCCTATCTGAGCACAAAAGGAAAAGCCATGGTAGCTGTGGAGGTCTTCTCCATCTTGTCCTCCAGCACTGCATTATTGGGATGCATATTTTTGCCAAAATGCTACATCATTGTTTTCAGGCCTGAGCTAAACCACCGCGAACAACTTATAAAGAGAATGTAGGACATCAAGTGTTCTTTCTGGCTATGGAAATGATTAACTGAACAAAAAGAGTAGAGTGCTGCTATCTACAGGAAATTATAGATGTCATTGTTTCTATCAAACAAGCTTTTGTGTAAAATTGGGATTATTATTAAAATTCATTGTTGCCTATTCCAAATGAAGTGCTCATTTTGCTACATTTTCAGCAGTCCTCCAAGGTTGCTTAACCTAATCCTTTTTTCCTTTGAATACATCAAAGCTTTTTTGAGATTTTGAGCATCTATCTCTTTATATTCTTAGGAGATTGGAGAGATTTATTTTAAGGACACCTAAAGGTTTGCAGCTTCCAGTTCTTGAAATGTAAAAGTTAGAAAATCTTTGAACATGTAACAGACGTTTAACTGTGTTTTTGGAAATGTTTTCATGAACGATTGCTCTCCATCCACTAATGTATATCTACTGTACCTAATTATCCAATTTTAATAATGTTGCAATTTAGGGACATTATATAAAACATAGTCCTCTTTCTAACTCATCCCATTAGAAGTATATGCTGACCATTGATCATAATAAATTTTGATTTAATTTGGTTTGATTTGGGTGTGTCTTCCACTAGTCTTTTGGATGAGACCCTTTCCATTATGCATTGGCTAATAAAATACATCATCAGGCTGGAAAGCAGGAGACCCTGAGTTCCAGTCCTGCCTTAGCTATGAAAGTCATCTGGCTATCTTTAGGACAGTCCTTCTCTCTCAGCCCAACCCACCTCACAGGGTTGTTATTTGGGGAAAATAGGAAGATGAAAGTGTGTTAGATATTTTCAATGCCTTGAGTTATTTGTAAAAATAATAAAACCTATATGTGTGTGTGTGTGTGCGTGTGTGTATATGTATGTGTGTGTATTTGTGTTTTAATTCCATGATGTCAGTATTGCTGACATTAGCATTATCTGCCTGGACATGTGGATGAATTCCTCATCCAAATGGCTATCTGGTTTAATTCCTTCATAGGTTAAAAAAAAGTTTCGTCTTCTCTATTAAACGACTCTGTTCATTTTACGTGGTTAACTCTAGACTTGATTTTTGTCTCTGGCCAGTGGTTGAGTGATCTTGTTATAGGGGATATAGACATGGAACCCTTGTCATGGTCAGATCACCCACTCCTTCGTCTGGACCTTCGTACCGCTACACCCCGCCGCAGGGAGGCGGTCCCAATTAGATGGGTCCGCCCCAGGCGCCTGATGGATCCTGATAGGTTCCAGACGGAGCTTGGGCCAATTCCTGATGATCTGGCACACGACTCGGCCGAGGACCTGGTAGCTGCCTGGGATCGGGCGGCTGGTGGGGCCTTGGATCGAGTCGTGCCTTTGCGGCCTCTGACCCGCTGTCGATCCCTCGCGGCTCCTTGGTTCACCGAGGAGCTGAGGGAGATGAAACGCCGGAAAAGACGCCTAGAGAGCGGTTGGAGGGCCAGTCGCGCTGAATCTGACTGAACACTGGTAAGGTCGCATATTAAGACCTACCTAGTGGCGATAAAGACGGCAAAGTGTAATTATTTTTCCGCCTCTATTGCGTCATCAGGGAATCGTCCGGCAGCCCTGTTCAGGGTAACCCGCTCCCTGCTCCATCTGGGAGCGCGGGAGGATCCCTTGGAAGGCAGGGCAGAGGATTTCGGACAATACCTGTATGACAAAATCGCTCAGATCAGGGGGGACTTGGACTCTGACTGGGTAGATCAGGGCAGGGTGACGAGGAATAGTCTTGAGAATGTTACCTGGGAGGAGTTTGATGCTGTGACTCCCGATGATGTGGACAGGATTTTGGGGAGACTTAGTGCGGCCACATGTTTACTGGACCCGTGTCCCTCCTGGTTGGTACTGGCCTCCCGGGAGGTTACACGAGGCTGGCTCCAGGGTGTTATCAACGCTTCATTGAGTGAGGGTTACTTCCCCGCGGCCTTGAAAGAGGCGGTGGTGAGGCCTCTCCTCAAGAAGCCGTCCCTGGATCCGGCAATATTGGCCAACTATCGTCCTGTCTCCAACCTTCGCTTTCTGGCGAAGGTTGTTGAGAGTGTGGTCGCGCGACAGTTTCCACAATTCCTGGAGGAAACATCCTATCTGGATGCATTCCAGTCTGGTTTCAGGCCTGGGCACAGCACGGAAACGGCATTGGTCGCGTTGGTTGATGATCTCTGGAGGGCTCGGGACAGGGGTTGCTCCTCTGTTCTGGTCCTGTTAGACCTCTCAGCGGCTTTTGATACCATCGACCATGGTATCATGCTGCACCGGTTGGAAGAGTTGGGGATGGGGGGCACCGTGTTACGGTGGTTCTCCTCCTTTCTCTCCGACCGGTCGCAGTTCGTGTTGGCAGGGGGGCAGAGGTCAACCTCGAGGCCTCTTATATGTGGAGTGCCTCAGGGGTCGGTCCTCTCGCCCCTCCTGTTCAACATTTATGTGAAGCCGTTGGGCGAGATCATCCGTGGCTTTGGGGTGAGATACCATCAGTACGCTGATGATACTCAGCTGTACGTCTCCACCCCAGGCCACCCCAATGATGCCCTTGAAGTGATGTCCCAGTGCCTGGAGGCTGTACGGATCTGGATGGGGAGGAACAGGCTCAAGCTCAACCCTTCCAAGACTGAGTGGCTGTGGTTCCCGGCATCCCGATATAGTCAGTTGACTCCATCACTGACTATTGGGGGCGAGTCTTTGGCCCCCACAGAGAGGGCTCGCAATCTGGGAGTCCTCCTGGATACACAGCTGTCCTTGGAGGAACATCTGACGGCTGTAACCAGGGGGACCTTTTATCAGGTTCGCCTGATCCGCCAGTTGCGGCCCTTTCTTGATCGGGATTCCCTGTGCACAGTCACTCATGCCCTCGTGACCTCTCGCCTTGATTACTGTAACGTTGTCTACATGGGGCTCCCCTTGAAGAGCACCCGGAGGCTCCAACTGGTCCAGAACGCAGCAGCGCGGGTAGTGACGGGAGCAGCATGGCGCTCCCATGTAACACCGCTCCTGCGCGAGCTGCACTGGCTCCCAGTGGTCTTCCGGGTGCGCTTCAAGGTGTTGGTTATCACCTTTAAAGCGCTCCATGGCATAGGGCCTAGCTATCTCCGAGACCGCCTGCTGCCACCGACGACCTCCCATCGACCCGTGCACTCCCACAGAGAGGGCCTCCTCGGGGTGCCATCAGCCAAACAATGCAGGCTGGTGACCCCCAGGGGGAGGGCCTTCTCTGTGGGGGCTCCCACCCTCTGGAATCAGTTGCCCCCTGAGATAAGGAGAATCCATGACCTCAGTGCCTTCCGCCGTGCCCTTAAAACCTTCCTTTTCCAAAAAGCCGGGCTGGCCTAATTCTTTTTAAGTGTTTTTAATTGTTTGGTTTATTGTTTTAATTAATGGGGCCAAATTTATATATATATATTTAACTGTATTTTAATATTTGTATTTGATGTTTTTATTTGGCTGTTCACCGCCCTGAGTCCTCAGGGAGAAGGGCGGTATACAAATTCAAAAATAAATAAATAAATAAATAAATAAATAAATAAATAAATAAATAAATAAATAAATGGGAGTCCTGCTCCATTGTAAGAAACGAACCCGAATTTGAACAATGAAGCCTATTTTTATTGTCATTCTCCCTTGGATCATCATAACTGACAGTGAGAACAATTAATAAGTGGAACAACTTGCCTGCAGAAGTTGTGAATGCTCCAACACTGGAAATTTTTAAGAAGATGTTGGATAACCATTTGCCTGAAGTGGTGGAGGGATTCCTGCCTGGGAAGGGGGTTGGACTAGAAGACCTCCAAGGTCCCTTCCAACTCTGTTATTCTATTCTATTCTATTCTATTCTATTCTATTCTATTCTATTCTATTCTATTCTATTCTATTCTATTCTATTCTATTCTATTCTCTTAACTGACATCTTCTCAATATTAAATCGTGAGACACTTATTATTTGACCAATACCAAAATAATTATTTTCTTAGGCCCAAACTTGCTGAGCAAAAGCAAAATTCAACAACAATCAAGATGTAAGCTTATCAAGTACCGTATTTTGCTTATCAAGTACTGTATTTTTCAGAGTATAAGATGCAGCTTGGTTTTTGAGGAAGAAAATAGGGGAAAAAAATCTGCCTACCAGGTATTCATCTGGCTAGCGTCCTAGTCTGGTCAGCTTCAACACATTAGTTTGCTGGTTTTTGCTTGGGGATATAAAACAGCCTCTAAGACACAGCTGAGAGGAAGCAGCAATGAGAAAAACAGGCAAAGCACGGGGGGTGGGGAGAGATCGCTTCACTCGGCTAGCGCCTAGTTAGGGCTGAAAGAAAACTTCTAAAGAACAGCTGAGAGTCGGAACAAAGCATGGTGATCGCTTGACTCACTAGAGCCTCATTAAAGCAGAGAGTTAAGGGACCAGGCAAAGCTGGGAAGATTTCTCACTAGTGCCTCGTTAGTGCTTCATTAGGGCTGAAAAAAAGGTTTGAAAAAGCTACATTCGGAGTATAAGATGCACCCAAATTTTCAGCCTCTTTTAAGGGGGGGTGGAGATGTGCCTTACACTCTGAAAAATACGGTATCTCTTGAATCACAGGGAAATGGGCACAAGAGGTGAAATGGTCCAGTTGGATTCATTGCTATAGGGATCCTTCTGCCTCTCCCTTCTGCCAGAATGTCTATTCACACCCCGATGATAGCCAAGATTTGAATTGGCACTCACATAGATCTTCAAATAAATACTGATGGATTTTTGTCATTAAGTGCACTCTCACGCATAAACCTTAGCTCAGTCATTGGAGGAATATTGGATTACTTTCCTATAGGGGTGAAATCAGTGGTGGGTTGCTCCCTGTTCAGTCTGATTCTTGCGAACCAGTAGTAACTGAGGTGGGAGGCTCTGCCCACGCACCCGGATGTCATCCTGAACGATCAGCACATGTGCCAAAGCTTCTGCGCATTCGCAGAAGTGTGCGTATGTGCACACTCCCATTGCGAACCAGTAGTGGAGGTAAGTAGAAATCCAGCAGGTTCTGGAGAACCGGTAGTGGAAATTTTGAGTAGTTTGGAAAACTGGGAAATACCACTTTGTTGGCCCCAGAGTGGGGTGGGAATGGGGATTTTGCAATATCCTTCCCCTGGAGTTGGGTGGGAATGAAGATTTTGCAGTATCCTTCTCCTGCCATGCCCACCAAGCCACACCCACCAAGCCATACCATGCCCACCAAGCCACGCCCACAGAACCAGTAGTAAAAACATTTGAATCTCACCACTGCTTTCCTATAATTTGATAAAAGAGATGGACATTTTCACCATAACTAAAGAGTCAAAATGTTGTTCCTTTGACATTCTTGGGGCACAAACAAATACCCCTGAGCTGCCCTACAAGAGATGCTTTCCTTGTTCCACATTAGTGGTACCAGCCCAGTGACTTTATCCTCAGTGGGATAGTGTCTCAATTTTTCTACCATTTTTATGAAATTGAATTTAAGGAACATTCGTCTCTAATACAGTATGATTTACCATTGTAAGGATTTTATTTCATAATCTTAACTACAATCCCGAAAAATACTTATAAGAGTGAAAGCATTTTGATCCTAAATGAAAGGTTTTGTATAAAATCTATAGCTTCTCTGTATTTCAAATATATCTCGTTTCTTGCTTCTTTGCATTTCAAATGAATCCTTTCTGCGCTCTGGAAAGAGTGCAGAAAAGAGGAACAAAGATGATTAGGGGCCTGGAGGTTAAAACATATGAAGAAAGGTTGCAGGAATTGGGTATGTCTAGTCTAGTGAAAAGAAGGACTAGCGGGTGATCTCGCAGGTGGGGTGGCCAGCTGGATGCACTATTTGGCCACCCTCCCACTTTAT